TAAAGAAAAGAAGGTAATCTACATCTCTCTCTCTCTCTCTCTCTCTCTCTCTCTCTCTCTCTCTCTCTCTCTCTCTCTCTCCCTCTCTCTCTCTCTCTCTCTCTCTCTCTCTCTCTCTCTCTCTCTCTCTCTCTCTCTCTCTCTCTCTCTCTCTCTCTCTCTCTCTCTCTCTCTCTCTCTCTCTCTCTCTCTCTCTCTCTCTCTCTCTCTCTCTCTCTCTCTCTCTCTCTCTCTCCTCTCTCTCTCTCTCTCTCTCTCTCTCTCTCTCTCTCTCTCTCTCTCTCTCTCTCTCTCTCTCTCTCTCTCTCTCTCTCTCTCTCTCTCTCTCTCTCTCTCTCTCTCTCTCTCTCTCTCACAGCATATTAGCGTCAGCTAGAAAATTACATATAATTACATTTATGAACATTATTTTATTCATAAAAGTTTCAACAGTTTATACTAATGAATATAAAAATTTCCTTTGTATATTTCAATTATATTACAGTGATTATTTAAAATAATAATGTGATTGAAAAGTCAATTATCAGTTAAGGGAAAACATTAACCATATTTAACCAAATTAACCAAAACATACGCAAATATAAGAAAGAACATTCAAAGTAATTATGTTTTTTTTTTCTTTTAGTCATTGGCATATGATTTCATGGAACATTTTCTGCATTTAGATAGTTTCTCTATCTCTTTAGGAAAATTACTTTAATAGCGCTACTTTTATTGCCACGTATTTGAAATTATGACTTCTCATAACAAATGGGAATAATTAATTGTAATAATAATACTTTATTTATTCTGGAACGAGTCCCTTAAGAATAATTCAAAAAATAAGGGTAGGTCGTACCCCTATTCGATTTATTCGTACTCCTGACAAAGTTCTATATTTATTTACCTGATTATGTTGTATTTTATTTGTTTCCATGTTAATTTCTTCATTAATTACAGTGTTAATTAATGAAAACAAATTGGGAATCCAGGTCGTTTATGAAGGAACTTGAGGAGAAAGAACTCCACTGTGAAATATAAAGAAATAGGAAATTTTACGGAATTATAATTATGATTATAAAAATTATGATAATTTTATTTAATATATTCACAATAATATATTGTGGCGGTTCCTGCCACTTGTTACGGGGGACAACTAGTTCACCTGCCGCTACCTAGCAGCGCCACACAAGCTAGCTCTTGCAATGTACCTAAACAATTGTATTTTTGTTTCTTATTGTTATATGATAAAATAATCAAATTGTAAATTGAAATTTGTGTATATATTGTAGAAAAAATGTATGAATAAAGTTAAAAGACGATATAGTGATCAAAGACTAAAAATAACTGTAATTGTTATGGGTCTTGGTAGCCCATTTAGTCTTGGCGAAATAATTATCGTAGTCCTTCCACAAAGATTAAAGACCTCCGAATATTCGCCCTTCGGCGTGTAACTATTTATATCGTTTATATCCATTATATCGTTTAACTAACTATTTTGTATCGTTTCCTACTATTCACGTTATCCATGGCTTAAAAAACTACATATGAAAGCTGTGAGCTACCGTTACAATTGCTCTAACTTACTGCTCAGCTGATAATTCATTTATTTCCACCATAACTGCTCCCTTGCTAAGAGCCAAAGTGACCAAGACAGCCAGCAAGAGTATTGGAAAATTT